AGCTCAGTGCTCTTTGCTGCTTCTATGGCCACCTCCTTCTCAGCTTCTATCTCTCCTCTTGATGGCTTCTCTTTCCTCGTTGAGGGTCTCATCGCACCAATCTTTGAAGGATCGAGCATGATTGTCTCGGGTGGAAGTTTATCAAGAAGCGAATGGATTTCCTTCTCCCTTCTCTGTTTCGATGTCTCAAACGGATTGGCCACAAAAGAATCGAAATTGGGTTCTCCAGCCCCAGGAATGAGAATGCTAGACCAACCCATCGAGTGACCAATCCCGAGAACATCCTCATATGGTCTGAACATAAGCTTCTCGATCTGATAACCTTTCACCATCGAGTGGTTCATGTATCTACTATAGTCATGTGAAGAACCACTACTCGAATCTCCTAGAACCCGAACAAACGATCCAGTTCCAGCTGCTAGCAAACCTTTCTGACTAAAACTCAGCGTTTTGGCATGGAACTTGTGAATAGTCTGAATCTCCTCGAACTTACGCAAATCCCAGATCTTGATTTTGCGCTCTTTACCCGATGTAGCCATGAGGTGCCCATTTGGATGAAATGCAACACATGAGACTGGTCCAGGATGACACTGCATCTGGACTAGAGGTGCTTGGCTAGTCGGTTTCCACATTGTGACGGTTCCACCAGAATGTCCCAAGGCAACAACACCATTGTAAGGATTCACTTCCATCACATCTGTTCGGCCTTTACCTGTTCGGATACTAGCCACCATGTCGCCATAGGTCACATCTTGATAATGTAGCTGCCCGAATTTGTTTACTGATGCAAGCAGGAAATGGTTCTTTAGGAACCGAAGTCTGGCCACTGGACCACGTTCCTGGGATAGACAAAGTTTAAAGTCAAGAACATTAGGCATATGTTTCTCCCTTTCAGCTGAAAAGCATAAATCTCACCTTCAAACAATGCAGCTCGGTTCCATCTTTCCCATAAATATAAGCATACCTGTCAAAATTCAACGAGTCAAGTTATTAGACACCAGGCGACAAACGTACAGAAGGTGATGACGTGATGTTATTAGCATTGAAAATACATACTTCTTCTGGGCAGCTGCAAAGAATTGTTCATTGTGCAGGAATGCAACATCGTGTACTATTTCTCTTACCTGCAGATATGATCAACTTCTGTTGAGAACCAAAAATAACAAGCACTGCTTAAGATTATAAAATAAAAACTCAGACCTGAATTTCTTTAGTTAAGCTTAAATTCATCATGTCTAAAAGAGCAAGATGGCCTTTGCGACCACCAGCTAGCATATGCCGACCACTTGCAGTAAAATCAAGTTTGTAAGGGCCAAGATCTACATATGTTCACCAGTATCAGTCAAATGAATCAGAAGAACATATCCCGAATAGAGGATATTGAGCATTTACCTCCGAGCACATACATAACTAAAAAATTCTACATGCATAAGATGTGATATTCCCTCTCAGAAGAGGATATTGAGCATTTACCTGGGAGTACTATGTCATATAGGTTTCTTAAACTGTACATATCTACTGCTCCAGGAAGCTCTGTCTGCTTGACCTGGTGTGTCTTCTCTAGGCCTTCAGTCTCCAAGTACCCTGCCTCAGCTGGTAAGAGCCACTACATAAAAACCAACCAGACAATAATTGAGAAATCGACACCAGCCGAACGATGAAGAACAGAAGAGTCAAAACGGTTGCTCGATATGTCAAGCAATACACAACAGTTTCTTTCGTCTCCAAAGCACCGGAAAAAAAGGGCTCAAACAAAGATCCACGCAGAGCTGAATGAAGGAGTAAATATTTTACCTTCTCGATTTTAGCAGCAGTTTTCGCAGATTTCCCATATAACTTTTCTCGCGAAGCAAGTTGAGTCTTTAGTTTCTTATCTTTCAATATCTACATAACACAAAAGAAAA